GTTAGCTACAGCTATAAGGCGTCAGCTGCTGATCCTTTCAGGTGTTACTGTGACTACTGTAGTTTTAATACCTGCATAGTTTCACCCTCAGCAGTTCCCCTGGTAAAGACATAAAGCAGCTCCACGAGTATTCAAAGGGAGTTACATGGAAAGATTTCTATTTCTGCTGTATGAATTTCTACCTCAGTTTTTATTTTACTAGGGGAATTTTTTCACCCTGAGGTGTGGGGGGGGGTGAAGGGGGTGATAGTTGAATTAAAGCCAGCAAGCTGAAAACTATGTGCGCTGTAACTGTGGATAATCAAACCTCTTAACGTTACTTTCAACAATATTCAGCAATCAAAACAGATGACAGCAAGCTATTTTTGATGATTCTTGGCATTTTCCTGAAGCCTGAATTTGTTCTGAAAGCAAAAGGTGCTACTTCTATTAGGCAAAAAAAAAAAAACACTTAAAAAAGTAATACATGAAAAAAAAACACAATATTCCCTTGAATAAACTACAGAGACTGTCAAAAGCCAACTAGCTCTGAAAGTGAGCCCTTTAGTCTGGTTCAGAAAACTTTGAGCCTGGATCTTTCATTAGTACAATCAGTTAAATTTCCCTTGACGTCAGTTACATTGGCCCCTGCTCAGCTCTGAGAACCCCATCTTTGTGATCACACATATATTTAGTTTTTCAAGGGGACAGAGGAGATGGAATAGCAAGTCTAGGCCGTGGCCCTGTCTATGTATTACTGTATCATGCTGCTTTGCCACTGAAGGTCCAGCTTCAAGACTGCAGATCTGTCAGTGACCAAACATGATGGACCACCCATCGGCCTTTTATTAACCAGCACTTGTTCCCCCTCTAATCCTATCACTAGAGTAATCAAAGCTGCCATGTCCCAGGGTTTGATGGAACAGCAGGACCTGGGAAATGAAGACTGATTTTGTTAACAAAGTCATTCCTGTCCCTTGAATGCTGTCTCATTGGTAGAAAGCACAGAGACGGGGTTTATTTGTGCAGAGAATGAGGCGGCAGAGAAATGAAAGGGGAAGAATGGTGAAGTGTGAAGTTTAATCTGGCACGGTCTAAGGTTTCTTTCTTTGAGGCTGTTCTCTGATCCAATCAACACCGGTTTGATATTTAACATCTCCCCCTGCAGTTGGAAATGATACAGGACGGAGAAGACCGGAGTCAGGGCTTCGCAAGCCCTGGCCAGCGAAGGGAGAGGAAAGAGGGTGTCGAAGGCTCCCCTCCAGCCTGACGGCTTCCCCACCAAGGGGACCAGATGAAATCGGCCCTGACACAAAATTCCACTCACAAACCTTGGGATTCAGGGCATCTGGCATGAGCTGGATGCAGATTCCCCCTGAAGAGAACCAGCTTGGATGGGCTAGGAGAGGGATTTTATTTCTAACTTGGAGAAAGGGGTATCAACACTGTGCCAGTGTGAGGATCCTGCTGAGAAAGAGGAACAAACACAAGCGAGAGCCACCATCCACCTCCCTAGGGCAGAGGGGTTTGGGTAGAGGAGTAAGGCCTTCCCCTTGCTGATCATACATGGTGACAAAGCGATACCTGGGGCTGAGCGGGGGTCCCACCACAGCCCTGGGCCATCAGGGCAGACACAGACAGACCTGAGCATCAGTAGGAGTCACCATCAACATCCTTCACACTCTAATGACTGTATATGTCTGTGTGGGGAGAGCCTTCCACCACAGACCCAAGGGTCCCAAAGAGAAGGGAAAATTTAACCCTACCCCAAGCAGGCCCTCAGAGGACACATGGACAAGTCCTCACTGCTTGTCATGGTGCTGGCTGTAATGCCTCTGCCAATACCCCACTGAGCGAAGCCTTGAATGCCACCTGCCCCTCACCAGCATTTCTCAGTTCTGGACCGCTTCATCTTGCACTTTCCTGGCCACTCCGTTCACAAACATCTGCACTGTCAGGCAGCGGAGCTGTCTGCTTCCTCCTCTCTGCATGCCTCTCAGCTCTTTCTGTCCCACCTCAGTGAAACCCTGAAACTCTGTACACCACGAAGTGGTGAAATTTCAACCGGACCCAAACCTGATCTGAATTCCCCTGTCCCCAGGCTCCCAACCCAGCCTTTTGCCGTGATTCAGACACCTTGCCACCAGCTATACAACACTCAGGGCCTGGACTGTGTGTGACCAGCAGCTGCTGGAGTCCCAAGGGGAATAAGGATGCTCCCTCCACAAACCATGCAGGAAAGCAGCTGGTTAGCGAGAAAACAGGGCAATCAGAGTGGTGCCAGTTTGGGAGAGCAGCTTGAAACACTGAGCTGGGATTACAGGGGGAGCAGAGCATCAAACTACAAAGTTAGTGGGTTTACAATAGAAAACAATGCGCCCTGCTCTACCTGCAAGAGCTGGCTCTCCAGGAAGCAGCTAATTATATGAGCCACCTTAATCTTTTTATCCAGCTAAGACAATCAACATTTCAAAGCTACGCACAGAACAGTTTCAAAGATCGTTCCTGGTCAAAAATGCAAGTGTATCCGCTTTCTTTCAGAGCAGATCAAAACCAAGTACCACACCGGGACCACTCCTAGATTTCCTCCTCCTCATGGTATCAGATTAACAGATTTGGTGTAGTCAGATTAAATATTTGCAGTAGCACAAAGCTGCCTTTGAGGGGAAGGAGTGAAAAAAAAGGAAGAAAAAAAGCTTTTTTAATTCTTTTTGCTTAGGGCAAAAACACTGGACTTTGGGGACGTGGGAAACAAAAGCATTGACATGATTCAGCAAGGCACAGTTTTAAAACCTGAATTCTGAATGCAGAAATTATGTGCGCTATTCCTGTAACAGTAATGCTGAAAACAGGTAAAAACTGCTGATGCCCTTAGCAGATTTGGGACTGTAATTTATCACAGATGTTCCCATCAAACTGTGCAAACACCCTGCAAGACAAAAGCTGCTCCATTTCTGATTTCCATTTTAGCATGTTTTAATTATGTGTTGCTTAAGGAAGGCTCCAAGACCTGAAATTGGGAGGCGAAACCTAGCAATAGTAATCCACTCCACTAAATTAGCACAGTAATACACCAAGCAGTGGGACTGCCAGACGGTGTGATAACATTACAAATTACTATTGTTAAACAAGGAGCCAGGTGTCAGGATGCATGAAATCTAGAGGAAGCAAGAAAATATCTGGTTTGTTTTGTTTAATTTTGTCTCATGTTGTTCTGGTGGCCTTATTCCCAGAAAAAAGCTTCAATCTAGGAAAAATCTTCCTGAACACCCATCCATTTTAGCAGCAATGTCAATTCTCTGAAATAATTAAAATGCAACGTATGTTCTTTAATCAGCAAAAATGATCTGCATAAATGATTGTCCTTTACTTGCCAATAGCAGTAATACTTTTGCTGTTCTTTTTTAGGTTATTACTGTAGCAAAACTAAAGGGAAAGCTTTGTTTAAAAGTTGGAAAATGAGAGAAAACCAGATTAGGTCAAGAGCAGCAGTGAGTTTTGTTTCCTGTCCCTTTGCCTTTCTCTGTCACTCACACTCTTCCCCTCTCGTAAGAAAATGTAATATGATTCACATTTAAAAGGCTTCCAAGCGGTACATTTTTAACCAAGTGCTTTCATGTGCCTGATTCTGACTGCCATTTTTGACCTAATACAACCAAATGCTATTGGATGTCTGGTATGGGTAATCATTTTTACCTTACCTTAAAGAAGGGGCTCAACAGAGAGGACAGGCACTTAAACCTTTCAAACAGAACAGGGGAAAACGAATTCCTTGTTTTGCTTGTGTGTTAATTAATGCAAAGGTCCTGAGGGGCTTTCTTTTAATTATTTGTGTTGATAAACAAGAAAATCCCTCCAAAAGCATATGCAACCAATCTTCTCCTCTGAAGGCTGTATGCAGAGTTAGTCGAAATATCGGATGAACCAAACGTTAGTGAAAGCCAGACTTTTTTCCCCTTAAAAGAGTTCCCACTAGACTTCAGGGGAGAAGGGGGTGCAGGCACTCCAAGGATGTTTTAATCACACCAAAGATCTGCACTTTAATCCCTATTCCCACATCACCAAGAATTTTTGTGCTCAAACTGGAACAGTAAGATACAGCTGGAAATAGGCTGATCCAAAACTAATGACGAAAAGCAGGTTAAAAACGAAATATCATAGCAGTAACTGACACCATCTTAAATTTCCCTGGATTATTTGTTTTCTTCCACACACATTCATTTCCTGAATTTCTAGTAAATCTGATTTCATATAAACAGTTTCACAAAGCAAAGTCAATAGCTGTGACTGTGTTCCTGATTAATCCACTGAAATGAAATAGATCGCATGGCTTAGTATTTGGTTGTTTAAAGCTAAATCCGCTGAAAGAATTCTGGAGTCCAGTTACACCAATAACTTTAGTTTCTTAATCTACATCCTGTCCTTTCTGCTGAACTTTACCTGTTCTAAAATGAAAAAGAAAACCCATGCAGACTGCACACTTAATTTAGCTCAGGACATGAGGGCAACATGAGTCAGTTTGTTTTGACCTGAGGTGACTACTAAAGAGACAACCGACAGTTTGCACATACTTAAATCTATTTGAACAATGTTGAAATTTCTTCTTTCATTGTTCATGCTTCATCCTCTTCCTGGCAAGTACCACAGAGCTGCTTCACTTGAAAACAAACAAACAAACAAGAAAAAGCACTTTTTGCCCAGCTCCAGGTCAGGACGGGCAACATGGGAGTTTCCCTCACAAGTGGCAAGCCAATAGACACACATTCATACCCTGGCCATTTGCTTCCCAAATAAATAATACAAATGATGAACACTCAGCACTGACACATCACAGGGTTTTTCACAGGCAGCATGGATCGGCGCAACAGGGAATGGGCAGCCTGATGCAAAGACTGCTGAGGCCCACGAGCAATGCACCCCACTGCAAAAGTGTTGGGGTTCACTCCCATAAACCAACCGAAACACAAGGGGAATGACCCCCAACTCCTGTAATAAGCCATGAGGCCCAGGAGCCTCCTTACCTGGGAGAAGTTGAGCCCATTCAGCGGGTGACACTGCTCTTCCACCCTCTCCACCGCTCCCGTTGTCTTCTTCATCCTCTCGGCCTCCTGGGCAAGGTAGAGATCGAGCACCGGTACCCCTCGGGAGCGGATGTCCGTCTCCGTCAAGGAGTTCACCATGAGCATCACCCAGACAGGCCTCTTGCGCTCCCAGTTGCCGGCGATGGCGTTGAAGAGGTAGTCAGCATAGAGCCCTTTGCCCCGCTGGTCCGGGGTCATCCAGTGGGGCAGCATCAGCTTGATGTAGTCCAGGTGGCGTTTGAGGCGGCGGTACAGCTCCCGGGGCAGCACGTCCTGCAGGTTCTCCCCATGGGGCAGCATCTGGCAGCTGGCCAGCCCCGAGATGGTGTAGGGGTCGGTGAGGTCCAGCTCAAAGTAGACGCTGGAGCTGGCGTGGAAAGCGGCCTTGGAGTTGTCAGGGATGAAGTCCCACACGCGCGTGTAGGGCACGTGAATGGTGCCGAAGAGATAGGCGGGGGGGTCACGGCGGATGGTCCAGAGGAAGGAGTTGAGCTCTCCTTGCTGCGGGGAGGACAGAGGGGCTGCTCAGCGGCCCACAGTGGTCACGCTGCCCCCGGGCCGCGGGGGTCCCTCTCCCCCCACCCCATCTCCCTGCACGAGCCCCGTCTTGGCACGGAGCGAGCAAAGCCCGGAGGGGCCGCGTCCCGCCGTGACCCCGCTCTCCCCACGGGCGCCCACCCGCGTCCCCCCGGCGCGGTCCCGCTCCCAGCGCAGGTCTCCCCCCCACACACACTCCCAGCCGGGGGACACGCGGGGCAGCGCCACACCTGCGGGGCCACGCACGGAGCTGGGGTTGGGGGCCCGTCTCGCGCCTCGTCCCGTTTGCCCCCCCCACCCTTCCCCGCGCACCGCGGCGGAGTCCCGCGCAGCGCCGCGGCCAGCCGCGCATCCCCGAGCGGGCGCGGCCCCGGCCCGGCTCACCGAGCGGGGCAGGTCGCACTGCCCCGTGTCCATCTGCTCCCGCCGGGCCGCGGCGTCGGGCAGGAACCCCCCGAAGACGAAGCAGATCAGCGTCAGGTTGAGTTGCATCCCGCTTCCTCTCGCTCTCCTCTCTCTCCTTCCCAGATGAGCCTTTTTGGATTTCTAGGATCTTTTTTTTTTTTTTTTTCCCTCCCCCTCCTCCTGCTCTTCCCCTTTTTTTTTTCTTCTTTTTTTTTTTCTTTTTTTTGGCTTTTTTTTTTTTATTCAAACAAACTTTGCCAGTCCCATCTGCATCTGACAAGTGCAGGGGGAAGGACTGGCCACCCCCTCCCTCCCTCCCATAGTCTCCCCCCTCCCGCCCTTTCCCACCCCCACCCCCTCTGGCTCCGCGCTTGTCAGAGGCGCTGGATGCTGCGGGGAGGACGGTTCTCATCGCCAGCCTCCGCCATGCTTTGGTTGTGCAGACCGGAGAAGCTCCCTTTACGCTGTACGGGAGGAGGCTGGAGGGGGAAGTAATACCCACGAAATAAAAAGTTAAAAAGGACGGGGTTTTGTCTCGTTTGTGCTTTATCTGGCGCCGCAGCACCCCCGCTCCGCCGCTCCGGGACCCGGCGCACACTGCACCGCGAGGGCCGGGCTCCGCGCCGGAGCAAAGTTTCGCGCAGCCGCCCCGGCCCGCCCGTGCCTCCCGCAGCGGGGGCCGCCGCCAGGGGGCGATCGCGCCCCAGCGCAACGGCCGCGGTGGAGGGGAGGTGGCGGCGTTCCCGCCTCGCCCGGCGCCCCTCAGCCCCCGCGGCACCTGCGCGGCGCTTCCCTCGGTTTAAACGCTAAAAGCAGAGCGTTCCCGCGCTCACAGAACGTTGGCAGAGTCACTCAGGCGCGGCTTGTCACGGGGAGCAACCGGCTTTGGAAGGGATGCCCTGAGGCGCCCCCTTCTTCAGCCCTCCGCCGGCCGCTCTGACCCCCGCTCGGCTGCCAGGCGTGAGGCGACATGTCCTCACAGGCACCGCTTTCCCATGGCCCCTCCGACACCAGAGGCAGCGAGGCCTCGCCGAGCGCCGGAGTGGAGGGCAGGTCAAGGACGTGGGTTCTGTGCCCTGTGCCTCAAACACCCTCAGCGGCACGGCCCCAACAGCGGGGTCCCCTGCCTCCTCAGCCTCACAGGAGGACGGAAGGAAGCCTCTCCCCGTGTGTTTTCAAACCTGTCGCGCTCATGTTCTTGGCTATCCAGCTTCCACTTGAACCAGAAAGCCTTAGGAGGAAGCACCCTCCTCCAACAAGATATGAGCTGGCTCTTGCTGATGGGACACGTTCAGGATCCCTGGAGCTTTCTCTGGAGGTTGCTGCAGCAGGCGCTCTCTTCCAGCAGCTGCAACTCAAGCGTCCTCCCAAGTGTCCATCTCTGTTTAAGCTGTAAGGTTTCAGAGCAGAGGACAGGCTGACGATGCCCCTCACAGCCATTCTGCGGGAACTCCTCCTGCCTGTGGATCTGTTCGCTGCACGAGCAGGGGTTGGGATGCTGCACATAGTCCTTTCTCACTGCAGGACAGCTCTGTGGTGTTGGTGGCCCGGTGTATCTCCACCACCCAACCTGCTGTATGCAGTGCACATGGCCAGGCAGATCTGGATCCTGATCTTCCCACCACCTGCATGCTTGTGAACCCTTTCCGAAATTGGGAAGCTCCTCACTGTATTGAGAAGGATCAGAATTACCAATGCTTGCTTGATGAAATACACTCATTACTATAATGAGCCGGGGTCCTTGCTCTCTCAAGGTGTTTTGCCAAGCATGGTGGCAGACTCAGGCCTAGCTGGCTATAAATGTGGCTTCCCCACAGCCCTGTGAGACTGAGAGGAGCACGACTTGCTGTGGTTATGGATGAGCAAATGTAGCTATGCAGGCTACTGAAGGGACTTCAGAACCGCTGTGTGCAGCCTATGGACTCTGTTCGTGGCAGGAGAGTGTTCTCCTAACCACAGTGTCAGGACCGCTGCCTCCTTTCTAAGTGAAGACCTTCATCCTCTTCTCTCTTCTCCCAGATCTTCCAGCCAGGTAAAACTAATGCAAAGGAGCAGGGGATTGTTTTTCCTCATGGTGTTTCTAGCTTTTGCAAAGAAATGCCCAATTTTCTGGGTCTACTCTGAGGACTAAGGTTCAGATAAGGAAAAGTCACAGAGGGACAGAAAGAAGCAGAAAGTTTATTAGCCCATAGGGTGTCCCATCACTGCAGCACAGGATGGTCCAGTGAGACACCGAGTCATGGCTGTGCCAGGTCAGGCCGTGCTGTTTCCCAGAGTCACCCATGGCCCAGTGCTGTTGGGATGTGGGGTGGCAGCAGGCAGGTGCGTGCCCTCCCCACCCCATCTGCCTTTGGGGTACATGGCACTGATGCCTCTCAACTTGCCTCCCCAGCATTGCCAGTGTGATGACATAGCCCTGCAAGGACGGGAGGGCAGGGCCTGGCTGCATGTGCCTACGCCATCTCTCGCTTGAGCAGCCCCACCTTTCTCCCCAGCGTGCCTCCACAGGCGTGCAGGGTGCTGGATGGTCACCATAAGTGGCTGTGCTCCCACCTGAGATGAAGTCCAGAGCAGGAAGGCCTGTGCAGTCCGTGTCCCAGCAGATGTGATGCCACGAGGGTTGATTCCAGTCACGCCAAATAATCCTGTTGTTTTTCCTTAAGCTGCCATAAGCCATTTAAAAGCTACATGCCTGAAACTGTAGTGACACTGTAGCATGGAAGTCTGCTGCATTTGCTCACAGCCGGACTAAACTGCATCCTTGTGTTCAGCAAGTGCCGCTTCAAAAGTGACATGGCTGTGCTTGCCTGGCTTAGTGGCTTTGACTTGGTCCACCCTTTTTCTAGCTCATTCCCAAATCACTTCCAAAGTAGTAAAAGAACAGAGGGGCCTTGTTAGAAGGCTGGTAGGTACATCTCCAGTGATGTGACCCAACATCTCATCTCATGTGCTGGAGAAGACACCTGGGAGGTCTATAAGGAGATGTGAGGCCCTATTCACTCATTGGTGCCGTGTTTTGAGGTAGAGTGATTACCCTCATCGATGACATACCTATCAAAGCACCCAGGGCAAGAATAAACAAACACCTTTGGCACTGTGCTCGTCTTCCATTAGCCAAAAGGCAGGTGTGTGTGTGTGGGTATAGCAAGTTTTCCAGCCATTTCCCTGAACTCAGCCCTGATGTTGCAAGAACTGCCTAGCTGTGAAAACACAGCCTCGCCTTGATTTATGCCGCTTGTGGGTAAGATGACTAAGAAGAAGAAGGGGGAAAGAAAAAAGAGCAGAACAGGAACAGAAATCCCAGTGGGAGCTTGATGCGGGTGTGTACCGATCTGGTGGGACAGTCAGGTTGGGGAAACTGCAGCCAGAGCTTCAGGCAGTAGGAAGAGGAGACCACAAACCGCATGATCTGTATCACAATGTTCCACCTAAGATACAAAAGCATGCCACAAGCTTTTATGAAGACATCTCTTTGGTAACAGCAAGGGAAATTAATTCTTTTGTGTAATTGTAACTTTTTTTTTTCTCCTTCAGATGAGTTCCATATGTCCCAGTGATTTTTTTTCCTTTAAACAGAGCAGTTTAGACCAAATCTTAAGTAACATTTAGCCTGCTTCTAAAGTAAATATTTACGAAAACATTAAATAATGGTTCTGATCTTTGGAAAATGTATATTGCTCCCTACCTGCTACTGTTTTGTGCTGATCTGGAGTAACAGAGAAGCTTTGTAATAACCCCCAAGGCTGTAAAAGCAGTGTAATAATGTGATTAGCTGTAATCAGATGGGAATACTTACTATTAAAAACCGTGAAGAGATAAGAGGGATAAACTGCAAAGGGAATGTTACTTTGTTTTAATAAATTTCAATAAATCTAATGGGGGAATAGGCTTCTAATCTTAACAAAAGCTGTATTGTTTTTTTGGAAGCACAACAGTGTTAGCTGGTATTTATGTCATGTATCATCTTCAAAGTGCTTTACTAAATAAATACAAGTCATTTCACCAACCACTTAAAGGCAACCGCTTCAGGGGTGCGGTGAGGCAACAACTTAAGTAAGTTGTCCTAAGACAGGCAGTGAAGACAGCCAGACTCAATAAGGAGTCCATGTGGGTACAAAAAATATTTGTGGAAGCTTTAACAATATCTTTAATCAGGCAAAACAAAACCCCGTGGAATAGAGGGCAGATTCTTTGTTAACGAGAAGCTGGCATTGGAACTTGTAATTACAGGGCATTTCCACAGGTAAAGGAGATTATTAGATCTAAGAGGAAACTGCTTGTGAGGGAGCAGTATTTGCATGCAGGGAAGCATAACTTTTTCAGCAGCACATGCTCCTAACAGGGCTAACTACATTTTTGTCTCTTCTTCTTCTCTCACCTTCCTCGCAGGAAAAATGCTGTATTGTTGGCCTGTGCTATATCAGTATTTCCCTGTCTCTGCAATGGTGTGCTTTCTTTTGAAGAATTTCAAAGCACCCAGTGGATTTCAGTCTCTGCATTTCTTAAGCCTTTCCTGTAATGAGGAACTCTGGCTGACCCACCAACTCACCCAAAAGCAGTCCTATGTCAAACCTCAGCTTTTCCCTTTTCCATGAATGAAACTGAAGGTGTCTACTGCTCTTGCTAGAGATGCCAGATGAGATTCAATCTGCTTGTGTGCTACAGATCATAGAATAATTTAGTTTGGAAGGGACTTCATGAAGTCTCCACCACCTTCACTCTGAGCAGGGTTCATTTCAATGTTACACCATGTTGCTCAGGTCTGATTAAGGATCCTAATTAGATTTCTCTGCTCGCTTATGCACAGGTGGCATTATCTGGGGCTGTCCTGGGCTTGAAAAGCAATAAACTTAAAGCAGTTGCACTGCTAGCTATCATGCCATGACTTGTTATTTGCCATGACACTTGTGCTGTGCCTAACAAATACAAGTTTTTCCTGCAGAAGATTGGTTTTGATGTTAGCAGTTGTATTCACATAAAACATCACTGTTCAATCGTGCAGTTCATGATTTGAAACATGCAGTTGTCAGAAGAGCAAGCCTCTACTACTTAAGGCTGTCACACTGGAACTGCTGAGTTATCACAACAGTTCTAACATTTCACATCTTTCTTTCCTGTGTGTTGACACCGATACAATGTAGTCACTGTAGTCAGTCTTCTTTTTCCTTGCCTTTTTGTCCTCCTGTGTCCAATTCAGTGTCTTTTGTCTCAGCATTCCAGCAACAACCGATCTAGTTCTTGAAGAAAATCCCCTCTCAATCCCAACATCCTCCTTTCTAAGGACTAGGTATGA